GGAGGGGGGGGGGGGGTGTGGTTATCAAAATTAATCAAAACAACAATTAAATGTTAATACAATCTAGTTTCAAAAATAATGATGGTAATCTGGTCGACGTGACAATGGATAAAATTGTTGTTAACGTATTGTACATATCGATCACCAAAACCTCTATAGTAGACAAAGCACTGCCACTCTCTGACCGGATATCTGGCCTTCATTTGGGTCACAATGTAATGAATTGTAGCGCTTATGTTGTCATTACTGTCGATGGCCTCAAACACAATGTCCGTCACAAACGATACCATCGACTCATTCATAGCCGTATAATATATGTCTAATTTGCGGGCAATTTTGTTGCGCTCGAGTCGGGCCTTCAAATTGGACCAATAAAACTGTTAGAAATTATACATTAAAATTTGTTCGCAGTAATTAATAATAATAAATTTGTAAGTATTAGATTTTATTGTAAAAATTATTTATTTATTTACGTAAATATAAGAAAATATTACAAAACTATACTGTTTATTACTGTACCCGCATTGTGTGAAATAAAGTAAACGTGACCGGGGTGAATTTCACTTTTACCAAATAATTGTGATCGATCATTAAACATCCATTGTATTCGTCATAATCAACCAAACAGTGCCAACTACTGCCGTACTCGAGGTCCATGTAATCGACCACATGTTTACACACATCGTATAGTGTGTTATGTTTTGTCAACATTTCCCGAAATATAGACAGTGTTTTGTCGGTCATATCGGCGTTCAATTGGTTGTCTAACACCACCGGTGTCGACAGGTGTTGCCTACACTCGGCCAGTATCTGATGTGCCGACAACTCTTTACTTGGTAATACTGATTGATCCAAATTACTGTCATTATAACCATGACCATTTTTCAACTCATTATTAATTGCTTTTAATGCCTCGATCTCTGCGCGTAACGATTCAATACAGTCGCGCCCCGATGTGTGCACACAATTGCATGCTAAACATTGTGCCGTCTTATAGCGACAGTTGTCTGTGTGTTCTTTAAGGTCATTTTGTGTGACCACTTGTAAACACCCGTTATTACAATATTCGCACCGTTCGGTAATATTGTTAATATCTTTAGCCGACATTTAATACCTATCAATAAAATAGTATTAAATTGTTGTATATTTTTTAAAATTAATTAAAATATTTAATTACTTACCAATAAAATAATTTAATTTGGGAAAGTTTAATTTTAGGTAGGGCTCTAACCCGTCGCTGCACTAATCATAACTAACTCACAAAGAGTTTTATTTGATAGTTTATATTTTAGTTGTGCTCTCATCGATGACTTGAATTAATGTAAAACATAAAATACATACAATATGTGTAAAATAGGCTTGGCCATACGCCATCGTTATTTGTGTAAGAATAGAGTGACCAACATATAAACTTTAAGCATAACTATTAAACATGACTTTTATTTAAAATTGAACATTTTTTATCTATTTATCAATTATTACATGTTTCCTTTTAATGCCGTTTTATATTGAAAGGCATACACATGTTTTGAATGAGTATTGATTTAATTGTTGTATTAATTGCATGTAACACCTAGACCAATTATTTACAGTATCATGATAAGCACATTATGAATAATTTCACATAAATTTTAGCATTTATATTTAATGCAATGTTTAAACTTGTATTTACTACTTTTAATAATTAAATGTTTTTATAATTAATTTTTATTTATTACAAAAAACATCAAATTTAAATAATTAATAATAAAATAATAATATAAAGTTAATTAACAATTCCTATCAAACCTTTTGGCGCAAATAATTGTTACGATCGTCGACGCAGTGGGTGTTTGAATAAAGCTAAAGTATTGAACACTTGCGACCGGCCCCGTGTTTGAGCACGGATGAATTAAATATTATCACATTTAACTGATCCACAGCACAATGGATATAATGACCAAAATGTGTAATATGAAAACTGCCAAAATTTTGTCTAATAAAACACGACCATATTATACCCGGATATTCGGTCGCCATTTGAGCTTTTATATGGGTTGGTGTGTCGATTAAACCGTCCGCCATATCAAAGGCCTTAAACACAATGTCCGTCACAACCGATACCATCGATGTTTTCATTGTTGTCGCCTTAGTATCCAATTTGCGGGCAATTTTGTTACGCTTTAATCGCATCTTAAATACTCCCCAATCAAACTGTTAATATAATATAATTATATGAATATTAATAATAAATAAATAATAATTACTAAAGTATATATTACACTCAAGTTATGAAATACAGTGAATGTGATCGGGATAAATTTTACTACCATATAGAAACCAGTTTGTTTCTTAATGTGCCAACTATAGTCATTATTATTGTATGAGTTGGCCAAACAAGTCCAAACGGTGCCAAACTCAAGCTCCATGTAATAGACCACATTTCTACACACATCTAATAGTGTGTTATTTTTTCTCAACATTTTCCTTAATATTGACAGTGTTTTGTCGGTCATATCGGCGTTCATTTCGTTGTCCAACACTACCGGTGCCGTCAAGTGTTGCCTACATTGAATCAAAATTTGACTCCCAGATAATCTTTCACATGGTTGCAATGATTGATCAACATCAACACCATTATTATCATGGCAAGTTTTCGCATCAACTAGTTTTAGTGAATCGATATGGGTCAGCAAAGCTTCATTACAGTCGCGCCCCGATGTGTGCACGCCATGGCATACTGAACATTGTGCCGGTTTATAGCGACAGTTGTCTGTGCGCTCCTTAAGATTCTTGTGTTTAACCATTTGACGGCACCCGTAATACCAATATTCGCACCGTTCGGTAATATTGTTAATATCTTTGGCCGACATTTAATATCTATCAATAAAATAGTATTAAAATTATTGTTTATAATTTTGAAATTAAAATATTTCATTACATGTCTGAAAATAATTAAATAATTAAATTAAATCAATTTTTATACCTTATATCAAATCTATATAATGTGTGGGCGAGTGGTGTACGGATACAACTCAATAAGTTTCGTTTTGTGTCTCTAAGCCATCGGTGCAATAATCACACACCTGTTGTCACACAATTAACAAATAATTATATTTAATAATTTATATCTCAGTTTTGCTCTCGTCGTGGATTTTAATTTACAATTAATGTAAAACAATATGACAAATATCATTACTTTATATATAACCACGTACACTGTATCATACATGCAATTTGTAATTAGTGATTAATATAGTATGCCTACCTATTCACAATAGTGGTGCAAATTATGAAAATTTTCACTCACGGTCACTCACACTCACGAAAAAAATTTCACACTCATTCACGTTCACGAAATTAAAAACTCCACTCACTCACACTCACTCACGGCAATCACGTTTCATCTATATGTTATTTAGATATAGAAATAAGCCATATATTTTGCTATATAAACAAGTATACTATACAATAAATTCTAAATCTGGTTGACATAATACCTTATTAGTAATAAGTTATTACATAATTGTCATGAATAAGAATATACGATATTTATTCAAAATGGTATTAAATTTGTATAGAATATACTGTATGTAATAATAAAGGATAAGGCTATGAACTAATAGGTCACTGGGCTATGCTGGCCTGGTCACCATTTGACATGGATATGATAACACATGCCAAGAGGTCTTCGTGAGTGGTGTCCATAGCAAATATTTTAAATAAATTATTATATTTCGCATTAATATAATATAACTATTGTTTGTATTTCAAGAATTGTTTATGTTTTGCAAAATATTAATTAATTATTTATATTTATTTCTAAATAAAAATACCGAAGAATATAAGTATTTATTTTGAAATAGCGTACAACATATTAATTAAATATTGATATACAGTACATTTTATTATCAAACTTTCTGATAGTAAAATTAAATAATTTGCATTTTGTAATCAAAACTAACAACACGTGCATATGATTAATAACATTTAAAAATTGTCACAAAAATTAAGCGCAAGTTGTTTTGTCATTTAATAAATATTTAAATTCTGTGTTAAAATTTTAACGTAATTTTATAGTAATTTTCTTGACATTTATAAAGTAGTAGAGTTTGAGAGGAAGAATTTGTATAACTTTTATGACATAAAATATTAAACTTATATAATTAACTAGATTTATATATTGTTTTAATTTAATAAATACATTGTAGGTTTAGATATAATAGACACTCAAAAGTTGATAAAGTATCGGAATTGCACTAAAATTTGTATAATAATAAATATTTTTAATTAACTTTTTTAAACAGGTTATCAATTGAAAATACTTATATTGTAAAATATAAAATTAAAAACATACTTAAAATTAATTGAAAACTATTTTGGAATTTAAATTTATATTCATATTAATTCTAAAGATGTACTGTATTTATTGTCAGATACAGTATATTATGTTTTCATGTAAATTTATATTGATTGATTTCTTAGATTGCATATAATTTATAACTTAAACCCATTTTTGGTCAAGAATTTGTCTATAGTTTGCTATTTGAAGCCATTTATAGAATTGTTAATATATACTTCTATAGGAGAAAACTTTCTCGTCTGATTTGCAACTAATTTAGTCGTTTCTTATAGAAAGGTTAGACAGTATTACGAATATATTGATGTCACAAATCCAATAAATATGATATGTGAATTAGAGCAACCAAAATATGAGTCATTGCAGACTAATGTAATATGCAGACTAACCAAAAACCATGAATTAGTCAAAGAATGATAACATATAATATTTAACTAATGCTTTAAAATAAATAAATAGTTGTAATAGTCATTATTGTGTTCAAAACTATGAAAATCGATTTCAAATCAATTTCAAACGGTTGGCCTAATAATTTTACAAATTAATAAAATATTTAATTATTTGTGTGAATACAAGTGTATAATTATTGCATCGACAGGTAATATAGCTATGAAATAGTAAATTTACCCGCTTATGTTGACACATTTTTTATTGATTAATTATAATAAACCATAAAATTTATATAATATTTATTTTAAAATTACATATTTTTAAAATATGTTTGAATTATAAATTTATTATAAATTAAATATAAATTATTGAATTTAACTATTATTTAACTATTTTATTAATAGATTTAATAAAAACAATGTGGAAATATATTATGGATAGAGTTTCCTGTCTATCGGTCGACAATAATATTAAAACATCCTGGTATGATCCGATCGAAGAGTGGCCTGATGAGGTCAAATACAAATATCTTAATGATCATGCAGTAAACTATCGCTATAAAATGGCTCATTGCTTGCGATGTCATGAGACACACACACCGGGCGCCGACTGTATAGAATTGTTTAGGGAAGTGATTGAGCCAATAATGGTTGATAAGTGTACCGAAAGTGATCATGGTACTAATGATGGTGATAATCATAAAATATCATCTCTTGAAACAGTGCCGGAAAAGCAAATGCCTGTCGAGTGCAACAATGATTACGACAATAATGATGATGGTTGTAGTGCTAATACAGCATCACTACCAGACCTATACAATTACCAAATACTGGCCGAGTGTAGGCAACACTTGACGGCACCGGAATTATTAAACAACCACATGAACGCCGATATGACCGACAAAACTCTGTCGATATTCAGGAAAATGTTGACAAAACATAACACACTATTCGATGTGTGTAAACATGTGGTCGATTGCATGAGTCTCGAGTTCGGCATCAAATGGACTTGTTTGGCCAACTCATATAATGACAATGATTATAGCTATTGCATTAAACACGAACCTGGTTGCTATCTGGAAGTAAAATTCATCCCGATCACATTCGCTGTATTTCAAAACCTGAGTGTAATATATTTTTATTAATTATTATTTATTTATTATGCATATTCATATAATTATATTATATAACAGTTTGTTTGGGAAGTATTTAAGACCCAAATAAAAAATAACAAAATTGTCCGCAAATTGGATATTATAAAGACAACAATGAATGCATCGATGGTATCGGTTGTGACGGACATTGTGTTTAAGGCCATCGATATGGCGAAAGGTTTGTGGGACACACCAACCCATATAAATGCTCAAATGGCGACCGAATATCCGGGTACGATATGGCAGTGCTTTATCTATTATACCAAAAACTTTGGCAGTTGTCATATTACACCTTTTGGCTATTTTATCGATTGTGCTGTGGATCAGTTACATGTGATAATATTTAATTCGCCGGTGTTCATGCAAGTGGTCAATAGCAGCTCTATTCAGCCACCGACTGCGCCGACGAGCGTAACATTTATTTGCGCCAAACAAAACTTTGATAGGAATTGTTAATTATATTACTATTATTATTATTAATTAGTTAGATTTACTAACCATTAAAAGTTTATTATTAAAACACTAAATTATTTAAAATAGTAAATAAAAGTTTAAACATTGCACTAATTATTAATTATTAAATTTATGTAAAATTATTCAGATGTTCTCATTATAAAACTATTAAAATGATTTAGTAAAGTTTTCATTTGTTTTTCAATGCTTTTCATATCGCGAGTTAATTAAAATATAACAAAGTTCAATATGCCGGCTTAATTATAGATTTAGCTATTGACTGTATTACAAATTGTATGAATTATACAGTATACGTGATTTTATATAAAGTAGTAATATTTGTCATATTGTTTTATACTCATTGTCTATTAGAATAACGACAAGTGCACAACAAAAATGTATTAATTAAATAAAACTGTTTGTTAATTGTTTGCATTAAAAACAACTAGTACTAAATTGAAAAGTGGTCATAGTAATAATGGTAAAAATGAAGGTGATTTGAATCAATCAGTATTATCAAGTAGAAAGTTGTCGGCACATCAGGTAGTGTACGAGTGTAGGCGACACTTGTCGGCACCGGTGGTGTTGAACAACAAATTGGGCGCCGATATGATCGACAAAACACTGTCGATATTCAGGAAAATGTTGAGAAAACATAACATTATATACGATGTGTGTAAACACGTGATCTATTATATGGAGCTCGAGTACGGCAGCACTTGGCACTGTATTGTCGAGGATGACGAATACAATGGATGTTTTATGTTAGAAAAAAATGGTCTGTTAAAAGTAAAATTCACCCCGGTCACGTTTACATTGTTTCATACAAAGCGGGTAAAGTAGTAAACTATATAGTTTAGATACATGTATATTTAGAGATATATAATTATAAATTAAGGTATATTAAGTTAAATATATATATATTTATAACAGTTTTATTGGTCGAATTTCAAGGCCCGTCTCAAGCATAAAAAAATTGTCCGCAAATTGGATATTAAGAAAACAACAATGAATGCATCGATGGTATCGGTTGTGACGGATATTGTGTTTAAGGCCTTCGATATGGCGGACGATTTGATTGACACACCAAACCCATATAAAAGCTCAAATAGCGACCCAATATCCTGGTATAAAATGACAATGCTTTATTTATAACGAAAATTTTGGTAGTTATCATATTGATCACTTTGGCCATTATATCGATTGTAATGTGGATCTGTTAAATGTGACAATATTTAATTCGTCGGATTAAAAATTAAATAATTAGATAACGATTTTAATCAGACATCGACTGCGCCGACAATCGTAACTATTATTTGTTACACAAAAGTATAGAATGATTGAAACAGGTTTGAAAACCGATTATCATAATTGGCCACATCGTGTCATATTTTAGATGTCGCTATTAATTAAGATAAATGGAAACATGTTGGGCACACATCACAATAATTAATAAACATTATTATTTTCTTTATTAGACATGATAAAAATAATTAATTATTCATATTTATAAATTATATAATTATTCATTTATAAATGTATACATGAAATATTATTAAATAAATTACTCGAGTGACACCGATATTTCCTAACTCTAACAAACTATACTGTAATTTATATATCTCTATATAAACTAATTATTTTCTCAAGACATCAGTTTTATTCATTTGTATTAAATTAAATTAATTACACATAAATAAATTATTAAACTATTTTATATATCGATATTATTACTTACCGCCCAATTTAGCTCGAGCTAAAAACACTGGCCACAACTATTCAATACAACGTTTAATTTTTGTTTTTAATGACTGGGTGCAGTTTAATGTGAGATTCTAACTGACACAATGTATTAATTAATAAAATCTTGTATTAATAATGAGTCCGCTGTAAATAAAACCTCGTTAAACATAAATGTCACTAAAATATATGTAAGAAAAATTGTGATACAGGAAAATACAGGAATTTTGGGTAAATTTTTCACATTTATACAGGATTTTCAAAATATCGTTTGGCAACGCTAACTGTATTACTGTATAATTTGTTTATTAGAAATCAATGTAAGTATTTAAATGTAGATCATTTTGCTATTGATTTAAGCTATAAGTGATTTATTCCTGTTATGCCCGGAGCTAATGGTAAGTGAGGGCAGGGAATCAATACATAATCCTAATCTTTAAAGTATACAACGTTTTGATATTTACAGTCTACAGTAGTGACCAGATAAAAGTTTATTATCAGGTTAACGGCAAACATGATGGCTAAACTACAAATAAAGTGCGACAACATCGGTTGCAATGAGGTCATTAAACTGGATCATCTATCTAAGCATACAGTCGACTGTCGCTATTTAATGTCAAATTGTAATTGCGGTCAGACATCGCCGCATGTGTGTACGGCAACTGTTGGGCCAGTAGTCGAGTCATTTGATATGACCGATAATTTGGCGATTAGTGGCGCTCTCCCTGACAGTAGTCAGCCATTGCCTGTCAACGCACCGCAACATAAGGTACTGGCAGAAAGTAGGCGACACATGTGGGCGCCGGTAGGCTTAGTCACCACTATGAACGAAGATATGGCCGACAAAACAGTGGACATAATTAGGCAACAGTTATGCGAACAGAAGACTATTATTTTAATTGTCAAAAACGTGGTCGAAAAAATGAGCCTAGAGTTCGGCACCGATTGGCACTGCACAGTGAGCTGGAGCATTCGTTGTATCGGGTGCTACCAACCTGCCCCTGGTTGTTGTCTAACAGTGAAATTTGGTCCCATAAAATTTATTGTTTTTCACACGAAAAAGGTAATTATATTTTATTTATCACTTGTATTTAGTAAAGTTATATGCTTAAAATTGAAAAGTTAGTCGCGTATTATACGTATAGATATAATTATAAAATTATTATTATTAATAATACCAAAAACGAAATTTAATATACAGTAGATTGGATTATAATATTATCACTATTATAATAATTTTTAATTACAATTCATGTATGAAATATGTGGTTTATAGGATTGTTTTGTCTCAACCTTGTTTGTTTAAATACTTTTTTAAAACCATTCAAAGTAATCTGACTTTTGTTGTGGTCAGGAAACCCTTTGCATTACTTTATATGTATTCATATACAGTTAATTACATTGGTCAACATGTTCACTTAATCATTTATTATGTCTAGGTAAATCTAAACGAAATTAAGGCCCGAATCGAGCGTAATCAAATGGCCAGTAAAATAGACATAATATATTCGGATATGAATGAGCCATTGGTTTTAGTGGTGAAGAGAGTTATATATGAGGCCATCGACTGGTCGGACAGTTTGAATGGTATGGCAGTCGACATTAGTAACCGACTGGAGGCTCACGATCGGGCCATAAAGTGGCAGTGCTTTATTAATATTAATGGTAGATCAAGCGGCTCTTGCTTACACTATAAGCCTGGTACATTCATTGAGTGTAAGGTGGATCAACTAAACCTCATCATATTTCAGGCATTACCATAATATTTCAATTGTTATTTATTTAATATGATTATTAATAACTGAACGTAGTGCAAATGATATAAATTATAAGAGTTAATTATTTTAATAATCAGTGCTATATTTAACTACTATTAATTTAATAATTAAAATATATAGAATATGATAATTTTTCATATACATTTCGTATATTTGATTAAATGAGATTATACTGTATTATCTATATTACTTATTATTGTTATCAAGATATTATCATATTATAACAATTTGTAGTATTTATTGTTAATACAAAAATACATACAAATATTTTCACAATTTATTGGTTTTAATTAATAGAAAAATAAACTTAAAATTATGTAATAAAATTGCTTGAAATTTTTTATATTGTAAAAATTGTATTGCATTATTATTATTTATAATTTATAAATTATAACATTTATTTACTATACTAAAATGAAATTATGATGGTAATATTTCGGTACTAATTATTGAGTGGTTGACCTTTACTCAGAAATCATGATGGGTCTGATTGACAAATTAGCTAATCAGTTCACAAACTCATTTTATATTTGCATACGCGTACCATAATGTCTAACCCACCCTGGTGAGTGTATAACTAAAATGTCATTAATCAACAAAACTGTATGTTTGCAAACAAGTCTATTAACATGATAGTAATCAATAGAGTGGCATTATTTGGAATCAGTCGCTAATTAATATTTAATATCTTAATTTGTAATTAATTTAATTAAAAATTTAATAATAAATAATTGATCGATTAATTGCGATAATTATATTTTAAATATTAATTTTTAATCATAACTACTATTTGTTATTAACTAGATTTATATGATATAAATGCCCGGATTCAATATCGACCGGTTCGCCGATTTGGCGCCCGGCGTTCTCGCGGAGTACACGTGTAGTATATGTCGCCAAATACTGGACACTCCGGTGACCACAACCTGTTGTTTACGGGCTTTCTGTGAAGACTGTATCAATGAATGGCTTCAGACCAACACTACCTGTCCCTGCGATGGCCAGCCATTAACAGCGAATCAATTGTTACCAACACCAAAGTTAGTCTTATTTAGTAATTTAATTGATCATGAGTCAAACACATTATGATTATTATTTATTGCAAAATAATTAATTGCAATTTAATTTGTCATTGTTTAATATTTATACCAATATTACTATTATTAATTTAAAATTTATTATCAAAATAATTAATTTACCATGATTATGTTTAAGAATGATGGTGAACACATTGGACCGGTTTATAATTTGCTGCGACTATTGGGAAGACGGGTGCCGTGAAATGGTGCCACTCAAGGACTTAAAAGAGCATACAGTCGACTGTCGCTATAAGGATATTAAATGCTCGAGATGTCAGTGCGTGAAGACATGGAAACACGACTGTATCAAAGCATTACAGGCTATGAATCGTAACGCAGAGACAGAGTTACGGACATTACGTATGGCTAGGGATCGGCAAAGTGAGCTATATTTGAACTTGTTTAACTTAGTTTTGGCTATTATATTACAATGTAGTAATAATTTCTCCCATAAAGTATTAAAAATTTAATATTTCTATTTGTTGGTAACTGTAGGGCAACAACGACGGCGGCCATCACTGTCCGTAATCTGTGTAAAATGCAATCTCGTACTGACAGAGAGACACGACTGTATCAATGCGTTACTCACTGTATATCAAAATACAGTGACAGATATCAATAAATTAAACATTGATATTGATAATGAATCTGATTATGATGATGTTGGCGAGGATAATCATGGTGGTGGTTCGAGTTGCTGTCCTATATAATAAGGTAATTTTTATTTTCAATTTTTTTTATCATCCTTATTATATAACTAATTAATTTATAATTATTATAAATAGGTGCGTTAAAAGACGATGATGATTTGCACAGACACCCTCTCCCATCACCACCTCCAATTTATTATTATTATTATTATTATATGTAACAAATGATTGCTGTAAAACTTTCTCAATGAGATCATTAAAATAGATAACACATATTTATAGAATAAGATCAAGTATTAAACAAATAGAAAATAATTGTACATTTTAATAGAAAATGTTTATTAATAATTAATAAATAAAGTACAATAATTGAAAATTAATTTCTAAAAACATTACAAAATTACATTTATTCTATTTAAAAATAGTCCTAAAAGTAAGTAAATAATCACAACATAAATATTGAATAATAAATCAGTAATAAATACCACATTATCTGCCAATATATCTGTGTTTCCATTGGATTCAGTGATTATACTGTATTAATCACTTCCTATTGAATGCCTTTACTATTATTCACACATAAAAACACAATTTGTATTTCAATAGCATTTCATTACAATTAAGATCTTTAACAATAATAATAATGTCGTTTAAAATTGTAACAAATATCCATGATAATAAACATAATGACCAACAGCAACTATCATCAGATCACCAGATACTGGCCCAATGTAGACAACACTTGTGTGCACCGGAGCTGTTGGCCAACAAAATGAGCGCCGATATGACCGACAAAACACTGGCCATAATTAGGCAACAGTTGACCGAACAGAACAGTCTATACCTCGTGTGTCAACATGTGGTCAATCAAATGGAGCTCGAGTTTGGCAGCCAATGGCACTGTTGGGCTGACCGGCGCCCCGGAAGTAGCACAGGGTATTTCTCGTTTACAGCAGGCTCCTATATGATGGTTAAATTCTCCCCGATCACTATAACCTTGTATCACACTAACATGGTAATATTTTACTATAATTTTAATCAGTTTTTAATTTTAACTCAGGAGGGAAATAGCTGGGGTGGAAATTGCCAACCCTATTGATATTAGTATGAAAATGTGCAGAATTGTTGCTAGATGTTTAATAAATTGTCAAAATCGGCGAATAGCCAGAAACGTTGGCGTACTGGTCATTTTTCAAATCACGCGTCTATTGCTTATGG